CAAGTCAGCCTTCATGCGTGGCAGCTTCTTCATTTTCAAAAGAAGACAACAGATTAATGCAAGTAAAAATTAATACTAGACCCTGGCTGGGTGGCTCGGTTGGTTAGAGCTTTGTCCTGATACGCCAAGGTTGCGGGTTTGATCTTCAGTCAGGGCACCTACAAGAATCAACCAATCAAAACTGTACTTGAACAACAATTAAAATAAAAAAAAAGAATCAACTAGTGAATGCATAAATAAGTGGAACAACAAATCGATGTTTTGCTCTCAAATCAATAAATAAAATTTAAAAAATAGATAAATACTAAAAGTTTACATTTCCAAGACGCAACAGCAGCCTTAGTGAGCAAATCTGAGAAACACTGTCAGACTCCGCATTTTGCGGAGGAGGAGGACACGGAGGCCCCAAGAGGTGGCCCAGAGAGGCGGGAGCAGCCGCCAGCGCCCCTCTGACCCAGAGGTAACAAGCAAAGGCTCTGGCCTCAGACCCCCCTGGGCGGGGGCAGCCTCTCCCACTCCCCTGCCGTGTGTGAGTCTGGGACTGTTACTCATCTTCTCCCAGCTTCCATTTCCTCACCTGTAAAATGAGGATGACAGGCCCCTAGTCAAAGGTGGGTGAAGGTGACGAAGGCCGTGCTTGTGATGGGCTCAGCACAGTGTCTGGGGCACGGCCATGGTGCAGATGCAATGGACGTTGGTTTTAAGGGGTGGGTACGTGCCTCAGCAGCTTTTCTTGGTGAGATGAAGGGTAAGGAGGACTACCGAGAACTGCACTATCTTTTATTCTTCTCACATTTAGCCAGGTGGCATTGACCTGGGACAAACCCATACATGTCTCAAGATGTCACAGGTGTGTTCTGGGGAAGGAATCCTGTTTGGGTTCAACCCTGACCACCGATGTATAAATACTGGTCTCTTCGGCAGATGAGGAAAATTGATTCAGGCTCCACACTCTTCACACAGCCCGTAAACAAGGGCAAACTTGGTAAATGTTTGCTCTGACTTAAACCCTGTTCCCACACACGTGCCCCGCTTACATCATCCTGCATGGAAATCCCCTCCTGCGGACCCAGCATCCAACCGCTACTCCATCTGTTCGCCAAACGCTGATTGAGCAACTCCTAGGAGACCTGGAATACATGCACTCAGCTCCCCCTCCCCCCTCCCCCCCGGGGAGGCTGGCCCTACGCTTCCGAGAGCACGGTGCCCACCGGAGGGAGGCACGCCCCACGGCTGGTGTGACCTGGCCCACGCGGCTCCCCTTGTCTGGCCGGAGGCATCAGGGTAAACACGACCTGTTCCTCCGCCAGCTCCCTGATGCAGGGGCCTGTCTACAGAGAAAGGCTGCCGTGCTCCGAGAGCGCCGAGGAGTGTGTTGGGGAGGGGGGCGCCCCAGGAACATCGAACCTCAGGGAAATAAAGGGACAAAGGGGAGATTTCCCCCAGCCAGAGACAAAATCCTGGCGCAACACAGCGTGGGAGGAGGGGCTGGGCCGTGAGAAACTCAGGCTGGGATGGGGCCCAGAGGGCTGAGCCAGGGACGGGCTGTGGTAAACAGCTGGGCTGGCCGAGGTCCCTGTGGGGAGATGGGGCCAGCCTTATCTCCAGCCCCAGGGGCAGTAGCCCAGCGAGGGGGCGCCAGGTGTCGCCCTCCCCCCTACCCGCACCCCTCTCATCTCCAACAGGCTGGAGCACTGCCTTGGAGAGAAGGACAGAGCCTTCCAGGCAGCCAGGAACCAGTGGGAGGGGACCTGGAGTGCTGCATGCCGGAGATGGGTCAGCCGAGTGGCTGGCTGGTGGCCCCCAGACTTGGTCTGAGGTGAACTGCCACTGGGATGGGGACTTCTGGGTCAGATCGCCTACTTTCCCTCACCAAAAGTGTTTACCAGTGCATTTGACTTGAAAACAAAATCAATTCATGCAACAATTATAAAACGCTTGGGCACCTTGGTGAGTCATAGCTATAATGGCAGAAGTGGAGCAGTCAGTTGCAATGAGTCTATGTTATCTCATGCATTTATCTACAGCACAGAGGGGAAAGGGGGAATTCCGATCCCTGCCCATTAGTAAGAGAGTCGCCCAGAGGATGACCTGCTACACGTGGACAGGGGCCTAGGACCCTGCTTCCTCTCTCTCCCTGTCTCTGGGGCCATTGCCACGGGCCACCTGACACAAAATGGGCACCCTGGCTTCCAGGGTAGCATCCTCCATCGGCAGAGAGTCAAACGCGGCAGGCCAGGCCATCGCAGCACACGAACCCGAGGCAGGCAGGCCGGCCGGCTCCCCTGTGGAGGGCTGTGGGCATCCACCAGAGGCTGAAGGCCCGTAAGCACCCCTGGGACGCACTGCTGAATGCCCACTGCAGTAACCTGAGCGCAGGAGCAGCCACAGCAGCAAAACGGGAAGTCTGGCCCAGCCGTCCCAGCCCTGCCTTGGAGAGCGGACGCCCTTGTGGTGTCCTTAGACAGTGCCTCCTGGGCCCCATGCGGGTTACCCAGGAGAGAAAAGCCTTTCCCCTCCACTGGGCGTCAGAGTCCTCAAGCCTGATGATGCCAGTGACCTTCTGGCTGGGTCACTGTGGGGCTGCGTCCTGACCTGGGAGGGGAAGGGAGGAGGGAAGCGCGGTCAGGAGTCTCCAGAACAAGGCTTCCCAGGTACAGCTACCCTGGCCAGGCAGGGTGGCGTGGACCTCATTTTCAAGACTTTAGAAAAATCTGAAGAAATCACACGTTCACATCCACCTGGCTCATGCAAGTTAAAACCCAAGTCATCTCATTAATCTTTAAAATTTTTTAAAAATTTTAATCATTTTTCAAGTACAATTTTTTGTCTTTTACTCCCATCCCAGCCCACCCACCCAGCCCTCCCCACTCCCTCCCATTTCTACCCCCCCGCAGTTTTTGTCCTTGTCTCTTTTATATTTGTTCCTGTATTTTTTTATCTTTTAAAAATGGGGTTTTTTTTCATTACCATTTAACCCCCTTATACCTCCCTCTCCCCTGCAATCACCATACTTGTCCATGTCCGTAAACAATGAAATCGAATGCTATTTTATAGCATATGTAGAGAAATCCGATTAGTATTAATAAACAGAAAGACGCCGTGGCTGGTGTAGCTCAGTGGACTGAGTGCAGGCCTGCGGACCAAACAACCACTGTTCGATTCCCAGTCAGGGCACGTGCCTGGGTTGCAGGCCAGTTCCTGGCAGGGGACGCATGAGAGGCAACCACACACTGATGTTTCTCTCCCTCTCTCCTTCCCTTCCCCTCTGATAAAGAAATAAAATCTTTAAAATAAATTTAAAAAATAAACAGAAAGACAAGTTATTACTTCAGCTCTAGGTCTTGATGGAGGAAGAAAAAGTCCCAAAAGTCCCCCCTCAGTTTCCTTGGCGACCGTTGAGGGACCACTACGGGTCCATCACCATGTCAGCCATGTCTGAAGGGTGGCACACCCAAGTCCAGGTATTCGAGTGTAGTGAAAATATGCTTGCCTGGCTCCCAGTGTCATTTCCACTTTTAAATCGTCCTTGTTCATATACACCTTTGACTTCAGTCTGCTACCCAAGAAAATGCATCATAGTCCGAATTTTACCTGTGGCCCACCTCACGGTATTCTGTGGGCACCTCAGCAAAAGGGTTAACAAATTCCTTTCCTCTTTTGCATGAGGGCTTGACCCTGGGCTACTACATAATTAAAACAAATTCAGGGGGAAAAAGGCAGTGGAGTCAAGAGTATGATACCCCTCCCCCCAAGAATTAGGTCTCCCACAAACCTGGTTCTGAGGCTCTTCCGTCTGTCCCCTTACAGGGCACACACACCAGACATCCAAGTGCCAGCCCACCACATGAGGCCCCTGCGGCAGGTCAGGTCACCATCCTCCATGGTTTCCACAAGTCACGTGATGGAGGAGGTGTATTCTCAGTACATATGGACACGTATTTGGCTTGCTAATTGAGTTCTCTTTTGAACCAATCATCACCTTAACTCAAAAAACCACCATCCTCGGCTATCTTCCATGTACTTGCCCTGTCTTTGTGGATCTCTCCTTTACCCTTCATTCTCATTCAAGTTCAAGGTAGTGAGTCAACAGTGCTTGGTGAGACTCAAGCATCTTGTTATTTCTCATTTCACTTTTAACCAGACCCTAAGCTACTGGTTGGCAGGGTCTCGGTCTCTCTCCCCACACCCTCCACCCCCCGCCCCCCCACCACCACAGAGAGACAACTGTGATCCTTACCCAGTGACAACTGACACAGACACTGGCCTCATTACTCCTGCTCCGCAACCCTGCAGCTTCCCTCTCCTCCACAGTGCCTCTCTCAGGGCCCCAGGTACAGAAGCCTCTCCCAGCTGACGAGGACAAACCATCAGGCCTCTCAGGCAGACTCTAGTGGCACTGCCCACGGGACTCGTAACAGCGAAGGATGCCTCTGATTACCAGAGGGGGAAACGGACAGCTCTTCTGCTTCTTTGATGCCTTAGCCACTGGGGCCAGGACGCCTCCATCTTTTATATGCTCCTTCTGAAGACAGCAGTCAGCATTTTGGCTTTCTCTACCACAAGCGTATTTCTGATCGGTAATTCCCAACATCTGGTGGAGTTTGAGGTCAGGGTGGTAAGACAATCTACACTCTACCAGGCCAGCAAAAGTAATGTGGGTGTTTTCCATCAACACGGCCTACATGGTAGTTGTAAGACAACCCCCTAGCACATGAAATATTTGCATGGGGCTGCAACATCCATGTCCTGTAAGTTCTCGTTTCCACAGTTTTTACATCGAGTTAAACAGTTTCTAGAAAAAAGTTTTCAGACACTAAATTGTAAGAATAATTATTTTGAGGCCTCTCATACACGGATGTAGTATCACGTCCTGCAGATGCGTGGCCTGCTCGACCCAGGGCGGGAACAACGCGTTCGTGTGTCCGAACGGTGCCCGGTCGAGGCCGAGCACTTCCCATTCCACGTCATGTCCTCTCACGTAAGGAAACTAGCACAGATGCATTCATGCGGGCTTTATTCATTTGACAAATACAAGAAAATCTGCAGTCATCTATCAAAATATTATCTTATCAAGAATTTGAAAGATCTTTAAAAAAGATGTATTCACAGTCTGAATCATGTACAAAGCGGTGTCTGTAGAAGCAAAAGCCAGACTAGCAGCACGTGAGCGCAAACGATCCGCTGAATCGGCCTCCCAGCCCCATCAATCACTCAGGAAGCCAGACAGCCCTGCACTCGCTACCCCAGACAGTCGAGTTTGAAGCTGCCCTGTTGCAACAACTATTTATTTTAAAAGGAAAATTGCTTCCTGGGAAATCTTCCCTGGTACTCAGATGGGACTGAAGTGCTAACACCACATTCCAGGGCCCAGGGCAACCCCGCTACCTCCTCAGGGGAACGTTGCAATTGGTCCAGGCCCTGGGGTTCATTTGGAGGGTTTGAGGGGCTTTGAGGTGTTCATTTCAGCTCCAGGCTGATTTTCAAAAAATATTTTATTTATTTAGAGGGGAAGAGAGGGAGAGAAACACCAATGTGTGAGACACATTGATTGGTTGCCTCATGTGTCTCCCTGCACTGGGGACCTGATCTATAACCCAGGCATGTGTCCTGACCAAGAATCCAACTGGTGACCTTTTGATTCGCAGGCTGGTACTCAAGCCACACCAGCCAGGGCTCCAGGCTAATTTTTAATACACGAACCTGAGGTGTTTCCTACCCGAGGGGAGGGCTGTGCAGATCAGGCCGTCCGGGTGATTTGGGAACGTGAGCATGCTGGCAGCCTTGTTGGTACACACAGCTTGGCAATTTCAAAAAGGGCTGTGAAGGGCTGAAACCATTGTTTTTCATCTCCTGTGTTTTGGAAATTTAAACACAGGGAGTTTTCAAGGATCAATCACTTCTGGGCTCAAACTTATGACAGTGACACTGTTTCTTCCCAGGGCAAAACCCAATGTCCAGTTTTCAAGTCTCTCCCCAGACTCAACGTTCGGGATGCCCCTGGAGGTGAGGGTTCATAATGGTGGGCCAACTGTTCTTTATCGACTATCCAAAGGCGAACTTAGAGAAAAAGGTGTACTTTAAGGATAGGTTTCCGGAAGAATCAAATCACCTGTAGCACTGGTTTTGTAAGCCCTCAGTAACAGTGACTGGGAGGGGTCACTGACAAGCACCCGGTATTTTAGAGAAGTCAGCCTGCGCAGGAAAGGAAGCAATGGCGGCTGCACCCCGAGGGCGGAGCTTCCTCGTCTTTGCATCGTTAGACTCCAGCAGCATGGCAGAGCCTGACAGATCTTTCCATAGTGACACCTTTTCCTTCCAGGGCCAGATGGCAAATGTGGAAACATGCAAGGCTGGGCACTGGATGTGGGGGCCCAAGTCAGAGGCTTCCAACAGACGCCTGACCCCGGAGGGCCTTGTGTGGAAGCCTAACTTCACCTCATATTCTACAAATTGCGAACGAGACCATTTATGTAGGGCCTTTTGAAGCCAAGTGAAGGAAAGCACTGAACATATTATTTGTTCGAGCATCTATTATGGAAGGAGGGTTTTTAAAACCAAGGGAAACTTTTAGAAATGGGGGTCTGAGAGTTCAAGAGGAAAAACACCACCTGTTTAGTTGCTACTTCTAGAGTGAAATCAATCATTTGCTCAGTTATGAATGTTTCAAGCTGCTTCAAAAGCTTCTACTACTTGTGATAAATTAATCACTGACAGTGAGAGCCATGATCCGAAGACTACACACGAACCTCCTGAGAATCGAGAACAAAGAAGTGAGCCCTTGGTACGTCCACAGGCTGGTCTGTAGCACCACCCAGTACATCAACATGCTTTATTCTGGAGGTCAGGCAGAGTGACATCAGTGGACATCACTTTTTCCTTCTTTTCACTGAGCGGGGTTGGCTTGGCGGGTCACGCTTGATGGTGGGTGCTGTCGGGCTCCACAGCCACCCCCGGCCACGTGAGGGTGCGTCCTCAGTGGAATTTCTACTGTTCTCTCTCTAGTGACAATTGATTTTTCATGGTGAAAGACCAACATTTTGATACTTTCAGTAAACAAATGAATTGATTCTAGAAAGATTTGAAGAGAAAGTTCTGCGCCTGAGATCGGTGATTTAAAGAAATAAGATGTGTTCCCTCTATGCTGAGAGGTGGTTCCATCTTGTAGAAAGGGGCAGGTTTGTCGCCATCTTTCTACATGGGACAGTAACGAAGGGGGGACTCGGGCGCACACACACACACCACACAGCCTCTTTGGAGGAGCCTTTCGTGAAAGATCCCCCGCAGAGGAACTACTCGAGATCAGGGCACCCTCAAGGCGGCTCAGATCACAAACTGGTACTCAGGTGGCTTTGCTGTAGCTGTCGAATCGTGCATATTTCTAGAATACCCATGCTGCCATGTGTCTGCAGAGAAAAAGAGAATCTTGGAAAAGGGGGCTCAAAAAAACAGAGATGAGAGAACCTACTACTCCCAGCCTCTTTCTTTGCACAGCTTATTTTTCGTGCAGTCCTCAACTGCCTAATGCGAGCCAGTCTCTACCCACATTCAGGTTAGTTAGGACCAGCACACTACTCCTGAAGGTAGTTTCTAAAGAATACTCCATGACAGAAAACAAATATTCTTAACCCCAAGTACCAGTCCCAAACCAGACTGTGTGACGGGCTGAGAGAGAGCAGCAGGAGAAAGGAAAAGCTGGTCTTTCTCCAGCCACGTGGAGGAACCAGGCTTTTCTCACAGATGCTTACAGTCCGGTCACCATGGGGAAGGGCTGTGCCCGGCAAAGCTTCCCATAGAGGTGTGTGCGCCCACAGGTGATCGCTGTGTTTATGTTCTCCGTCCAACGGAACTGCGCGGCCCGGGCTCCACTGCCCAACTCACACGAAGGTCCGTTGAAACCGAAGGCAAGGCGCCCCCTGAGAGGTTCTTGGGGAACAATGTGGATCTTCTCCTTCACATCTGCCCACAGGACATTAGCGCATTTTGTCCCACTGGCTGCTGGAGGCCCCTTCTTTCTTCTGCCGGCACCTGCTTCTCCCCCAGCTCACCAAGTGAAGTCACAGCTTTCTCCAAATTCTTGCTTTGTACTGATACAACTGATTCATAACTTTACAAACCACTGTCTTTTGGCTATTGTTTTAAATTCTGACCTACTATCAGAGACAATAGGTTGTACTGCAAAAAAGAAAAACCAGGCCAGAAAGTGCTTCCCCAGCCGTGTTACTCTTCTTTAACGCTACTGTCTTTGGGTACTCGTTGTATTTGCTGCTGAAGAAATCAGACAGCGAGGCTGATAGCTCTGATTTGTAACACGGTCTTCGCACCACGGTAAGTAAAATCCTAGAACAGCGGGATCATCTGCTACCACGACAGGGCTGAGCTGTCTTGTCTGCTGCGTGAGGGAATCGCTTAGGGGGGAGTGAAGGGAGAGATGGGGGACAGAAGGCTTCGAGGGCCAGCAAACCTACGACTATGTCTAGAAATTAGGAATTTGGGGATAAACTAGAATTTACCTAAGGGTGATAGAGAATTGTTGAGTTAGAGTTCCATTACTTCCAGAAATTACTGAATTTGGAACCTGAGGTTAAGACTTTTAAGATAAAGCAACCTCAGAGAAACCCATACTGGCCTCGGGAGCAAATGGCAACCATAGATGGGAATGAGTCAGTGCTTGAGAACAAAAAGTGTCAAAATCAACTTATACATCTGACTTGGTTCAAGGTGAAAAAAGAGACTCATTTAAAAATGGTAAGTTGGCAGCAAAAAGTCTGAAAGTGAAAGTCTGAACTCCTTTCCACCTTCCCATTTTGCTGCTGGTACCTGCTCTCCATACAGTACCTCCAGAAAAGGCTTAGAATCCAGTACAGACTTAGCAGGCTGATTCTCGACATGTCATTTAAGATGATGAATCCTGTTTGGTTCAAACCCCTTCATTTAACCTTGGTAACGGCAGTCCTGAGAGTCTGGGTGTTGATGGGATCCACATGGGCCAGGCGCCAACCTGCTGGCGGCAGCACAGCGCCATCCTGGCCCGTCGCGCCTCCTCGGCCTTGTCCCACAGATCTGGTAGTTTTTGCACCAAGGGACTCAGTCCACCACAGTAATGTATGTTCAGAACCGTTTTCTGTAGACACCTCCTTCCAGTACCCAGTGGTGTAGGTGGTCAGGAAGACTTGGAAGGAAGCTGCAAAAAATCCAGCTGGCAATCTTGACTTTGTTAGGTGTGGACACAGGAAAATCAAGTTTGTCCTTCCCAGGTTTTATTATAGTTAAGGAGAAAAATCCATGGGAGTCTAATCACAAATCCGCTAAATATAAAATTGATGGAATGCTAACTGGTCCATAAAGGGTTGCACGAGATAATCTGTGGCAAAGTAGAAAACAAGCCCGAAGGTGATGGAGATGGGGAGAGCCGGCAGCGCTTTCTTGAAAATGGCGAGGAGCAGCAGTGTAAGGCACAGGCCCTGCGGGGGAGGGGAGACACAGACCCAGACGTAATCATGGAAGTATTTTGTGCAAGACAACTCAATCAATCACAAGTCTCGGTTTTAATTTAGATGATTGAACGCAGTCCTTTAAGGTTCAATTTTAGGACAAATGTTCCCATCAAACCTGGGAACAACTTTCATTTTCCTTTGCAACACAGAGTTCGTGATGCACACATTCTTGATTCTTCAACCCCTAATTCTAGGTAAGGATTAGAACCCCAAAATAAATAAAACTATTTTTGAAAAAAATTAATATGACCAAAATTTCTATCTAAAATATTGAGTTGGCTACTATGAATTTAGTTGGACTGGCTAAAATCCCAGAGGTGAAGAGCACTTCTTTATTCTGGGGTGGAGGCTGGGGGACAAGGATGCACAGATCATGCCAATAAAGGTTTATGAAAAGTACATCGCTGCTTTCTTGGAAACACAGGCCAGCCACATAATACAGTCCATTTTTTACCGTAGTTACCGAGACACTAACTATAAATTCTGGAGGCTAAGCATCATTTCAGTTAATCCAGAATAAGTAACTTCCTTCTCCAAAGATACAACACACCCAGAAAACTAACCTCAAAAAAGAAACAGGATACATAAAAATTCTGCCTGGTTATATTATCATTATCAACCACAAAAGTAATCACAAGATAAATGCAATGTAAAGGCTCCCATCTAACTTCATCTGCATATGAAACATCAGAGATTCTATTTTCAGTGAAAAAAAAGGCATAAGAACTATCTTATCAGTTATTTACTTAAATCACGGTTTTGAAAGCTTCAAGGTTCCTGCTGTGGCTCTATAAGCAAGATCTACCGGAGGCATCGTGTTAACCTTTTGTTCCTCCTGCTTCCTGCCCAGAGGAACCCATATGCTGAGCTGGTTGCATTAAATGCAAAACCACCACCAGACTCAGGGACTAAGCGAGGACCGGCTCACCCCTTTCAGACACAGCTGGTTTCCTACAGATCTATGCTGCCTGCAGCAGAGGTTCCTAATCAGAAGTACTTACACCATTTCCTGGGGAACTTTAAAAATAAGATACACTATTGAAACAAACTGAGTAAGAATGTCTCAGGGTGGGAACACACAGTTTTCGGAGGGCCCAGGGACTCTAACATGTGGCCACTGGGAGAACTGCTCAGGTGAGGTCTGATCAGTGGCTGTACAAACTCCCCAGATGACGGAACACCGGCCCAGCTGGGGTTACTCCAAGCGGCAGTGCCACCGGAGCTTTGAGGTGAGGGGTTCGGACATGTCCGCAGGAGTGTGTACTTACAATTAATATGGCTACAAAACAGGCGATGGTCGTGTTCCAGTCCCCACTGGCTGTTGCAGAAGCTTTACCGACTAGAACACTGTAGAAAATGAAATCTCCTAATCCAAGTTTCACTCCCCCTAAAAGGAAAGATCACAAACATAAAAAGTGGTAACTCTTTGCTATGATTTCACAATTCAAAAATGTCACTGCTCCACTCCACCCTGCACTGAGTAAGAAGTCAGTAATGATATCATACAAAATTAGGCTTGAGCTAGGTTTTCTCTTTTTTTCACAATAGAAGTTTCAGATTCTTTGGCTGACTTTGTGAGTGTGTGTGTGTGTGTGTGTGTGTATGTAAGATTTTATTTATTTCTTTTTGGAGAGAAGGGAAGGGAGAGAAAAAGAGAGGGAGAGAAATATCAAATGGTTGCTTCTCACACATGTCCATCCAGGGACCTAGCCCACAACCCAGTGGGCATGTGCCCTAACTGGGAATTGAACCTGCAACCTCTGGTTTTGGAGGCTGGTGCTCAATCCACTGAGCCACACCAACCAGGGCTATAAAGGCTGATTTTTAAAAGGCTGTTCCAGAAGACACATGGACCTTTTAGAAATCAGTTTCTAATGTAAATGGAGACTTTTATATTGTAAGTAACCATAAGTCTGGTTTAAAATACTAATACAGTCAGAGATGGCTGTGTAGTGGAAGATGCTGAGAGGATGAAAGAATGTTGATTATTAGTTTACACTGATCCCAGAAAAAGAAAATATTAATATGAAGTTAGAAAAAGCTTGCCAACCAAGAAAATACTAAGGTAAAAGGCTGAGACATTTAAAACCATAGGTCTCTTACAGTGAACAGTGAAAAATATTAACAAAATATTTCTACACAAGCATATTGCAGCCATGAAGTCTTATTGTAAAAACAATTTCAAAAAAATCTTTGACCTTATGAAACAAATACCAAAGGGTCAATTTCAAAAACCCCAAGGAAAACTTGACCCCGTAGCACATGGAGCTACGAGAAAAGCACCAACGATTGGTACTTCCCACTAGAAGCTGTGCTGGCATTTAGAATCAGACCGTCAGGCTCTCAATTCACCAGTGTGGGGAGAGGGTGCCGCTGCAGCACCCAAAAGGACCCGTGGCCCTCCCCCGAGGACGGATGTGCACGTACTTTCCTCCGGGTCCTCGCTGGCGACGATGCTGCTGGACAGCTCCTGCACGGCAGCCCGGGACTCGGCCGTGGAGCGATGCGGTCCCAGACGACTGTCCCTCTGGGCCTCCCACTCCTCACTGAAGCCACCGTCATCACTCTCTGCCACAGGGTCTTGTGGCTCACTCTCTGTGCCTTCAAGAAAAAGAAGAAAATGCTAATATTCAGCTCTGATATTCAGACAAATTCTTAATGTCTTTAAGAAAACTACATGGAAACAGTAACTACCTGACTGTCATTGTAACTGGGATAGGAGGCTCTGAAAGCACAAAACACGGGCTGCAGCGGGGTCTGCTGGCAGCTCACACAAGAGCCAACCCCCTACCCCTTTTCCTGAGGGCAGAGCCCGATGTGTTTGGGTTTCCACCGCTCAGCTCCCCACCTGAGTCTGGTGGTAAATCCCGGCCAGGCCAAGCCAAGCAGGGCACTCCCACCCTTCCTCTTCCCAGGGAGAGCGCTGAGGCTGCAGGTTTGGTGCCGGTCAGTGTGTGTGATGGGGCAAAGCCTGCTGGCAATTTGGGGGGATCTCCCTCACTGTTTAAGAAAAACTTAGGAAGACACTACCACCCCTTTGTTTCCCAGGTATTGTTTTATCTGGACGTGTTGCCTAGACCCGCACTTGTCATCTGTGATCACCAGGAGCAGGGGCCAGGGCCACGCCTGTACCTAAGGACGGCACAGCAGGAAAACGGAACAAACCTGAGCCCTTGGTAACACCAGTGAGCCACTAAATTAACCAGTCACACAGATGTCCACACCTCAGGATTCTGGTCACGTGAGAGAACACATTCCCTCTTTGTTTAAAGCCAATGAGTTGGGTTTTCCGATGTCTACAGTTGAAAGCTTTCTAACCGATGGCACTTGGCACTGGCTTTAGTGACTGGGTTACAAAAGTGGACCATTCCTGGCAGCAGGGAGGAGGGAGGGGAGGCAGTGCGTTTTTAATGGGCCAGTCGTTCGGTCACAAGGATGGTCGGTCTGGCTGAGCATCGTGAGCCTAACACAACAGTCTCAAAACTGTTCCGCATATCAAAAATAATCAAAATGCGTTAAGTTGATCCTCTCTTTCCTTTTTTTTAAAAGTAAAAGTGACGTGTGCTCATAGCAGAGGTAGATTTACCACAATAAATAGAGCCTGCACACTTCAGGCCTCACTTTGCGTGGACTGTTTTTTCTGGGAGGGGCCCTCACTATTTTGTATTTATAATTTGTATCCTTTTTCTTAGCCAGGGCTCCACAAAATTGGAATCTTCCCTGGTTTGGAGTTTATGAAATCATATAAGCATAAGGTTTATAAATAAAAACAGCAGCCCCTGCTCTGCCTCCCCCTCCCCCTTCAGCTGTTTCCTTTGGCATCAACCTCCATAATTAATTATCAGCAGCGTGAGCGCAGTACCGTATCTGATGTTTCTGTTTTAGGTTAAAACTCAGTCACTTCCTTCAGAGAAATAAAACACAGCTCCCATACTCATGCAAATTTAACTCTCCCTCTATTCTCAATATGTCGTTATTTTATGCTTAGTTCAGTTTTCATGCTATCATAATGCAAACAGTATTTACAACTAAACTATTTCATTACAACGAAAATGTGCTCTAATTACACAAGCTTCTTTTGTATAAGTTCCTCCCCACTTCCCAGAAAACTGCCTCATGTCCCCTGTAACTAATTCTCTGTGTATTGTGACCAACTCATCCTCAAACTCCTAACAACGCTGACACCCAGATAAGCCCCCGGGCTATTACGTTTTCCTTGCACAGACACCCCTCTGGGAGTCCCGGCCAGTTCGCTCCAGTCTAGCCTCTGGCTCCTCTAGCAGCGGCTGTCAACTAGAAGGCAGTGCCTCCCCTCCAGGGGTGTCTGGAAATGACTGTGATGGAGGTTTGGTAACTCTCATACTGTGAGACCAATATGAGCATTTATTCAGTGGGTGAGGGGCCACAAATGGTCCAAGTCCTGCACTGTGAGACGCCCCACACCACGAAGCACTGCCCCACCCAAAATACCAGTAGCAGGCCCACCTAAGAACACTGTGGTTCATCCAGCTCCTCCTCACTTCAAGGCCCTTGCCCAAGTTTCCTCTTCTGGAAAGCTCTTCCCTTCCTCAGCTGGCCATCTAGTACCACCTCCTCAGGGAAGCCTTCCTTGACTTTTCAGAATAAATGAGATGCCTGTGCTTCCATAGCAACTTACACTTCTCTTCCACAGGACTTATCACAGCTGTATGAATTACTTGTTGACTGTCTGTGTCTCCCCAAATAGAGGCTATAAGCCCCACAGGGCCGGGATACCTCCCGCAGCGCTATACCCCGAGTGCCTAGCAAAATATCAGGCACATGGTCAGGTGCTCAATCAACACTTGTCAAAAGAACAAAGCCTTCATGCGCCAAACACACACTTAAAATCACATACATATAAACATATACATTCATAAGCATCTAACCTTTTCATTTTCTTTGGCTTAACACAGGTTAAAACAATAACCAGACTTACAGCAGTCATTTCCAATCTATTTCCTACTTCCCTGGTAGGTCTCCTGTCGATACGTCACCCTGCTCTGCTGCCGTGCTGGCTGCAGAACGAGCCTGGTATCTCTGGGCCTCAAACAGGAATTTTCTCGGTCACCCGACAGCTAAAACAGCAGCTCACCTGACTCCATAAAACCTACACGCTTCCTTTCCTGACCAAGAGGAACTCGGGAAAGGCCCCGTTCACTTCCCTCCCCACCCTTCATTCTGCCTGTTTTTCGGCTTCCTCATAAGGTTAGTCCTTCACTTTTCTTTAAAAAAAAGTTTCCTTTTTCTCGACTATGGATAGTTTTGTCGGTCCTGACTTAAGTTCTCCTTAATGTCGTCCGCAGGCTCTGCGCCTGGACCTTTCAACCTCCCGTCCCCGGCCGTCGCCACTGTCCCCCTCCGGAAGGCCGCGTCCACCTGGAAGAGTTCATCTTGTCAGTATAAACAGCATCACATATAAAAGTAAAGTTATTTTTAAGTTATTCTGGCCATGTCAGTCAAGAGATTCTCATTTTTAACATGTCTAGAGGGAGAACGTACTTTTTCTTTTTAAAATCGGCCCCAACTTGAACCTTCCCAGACTGGTATTAGTGGGATTCAACAGCAGACATTCTTAGCCTGCGGTGCTTTGGCTGTCCTGTTGGGTTTGCGGCATCTGATCCCCTTAATATTTATCTGTATTTACTAGGTATTACTACTGCTTTCAGGAGATTTTCAAAGGAATCTGTGACCAAAGAAGGAGGTTAAAATGATCACTTTATAACTCACTGTTAGTCCGTAAGAGGACGATGACCCTAAAAAACCAGGATATTCCCAAGTAGAAGTCGCCTACCTTGTGCATTGTAACTGGAGTTTTTGGATGCCTTCCTCTGGGCTTCGGGGTCTCCTTTCGCCATATTCACCAGCCACACCATGGTCGCTGTTGAGAAAGACAGAAGTCCAAGTGAGCATGGGAAACACAGAAGGAAGTGAGAACAGGCCCTCAGTCCTCTACACAGACCACCAATGTCCTTAATGCACCTTAAGAATCCTTAACGATCAGAAGTAAATGTATATTAAAAACCACAAAAGGTTCTCTTTGATTCTGGCATATAAAAAAATTCTGAAATGGAGTGTTACTGGAGCTTTAAAAGTGCAGCTGCTATTGTAAAACTGTTCTTCATTTACAGTTCCTGAAAAGTAACCGAAAGAAAAGCTGGTCAGGCCAGCAAGATTCCACTGAGACAACAGCTGGACTAGTTGAATTTCCTAAAATAGCATAAATTCAATGATAAAAATTATTTCTTGGAACCAAATTAGAGAAGAAACTGGGGCTCACAAGAGTTTCAGATGTTTATCGTAATTCTAAAAATGCATGGAATAAGTTTCCTTCATATTATGTCTCACTTCTGGGACTTAATAATGCTAATCCGTGTTACACAGAGAGAGTAAGAAAGAAGGTTAAAAGCAATCAACGAAGGGGAGAGTCCACTGGCCTCTTCTATGTCCCTTCCACAAACATATAGCTATATAAATCTAGGTACACACGCACACCTGTTACATTTCAGCTAAGAGACAATATGAGTACTTTAAAATGGCAAAGTGATATATTGCAGGGGAATGAAAAAGGGTACAGATGCTCCTGGACGGGAATTTGGGAACATTTAACAAAACTACATATGCAATAACCCTTCGACCCAGGAATACCACTGCTGGGGAATTTACCCTGAAAATACACCAACAATAATATAAAAATACATAAAAACACATACCATACAGGGCCACGGCAAGAATCGAAAACTCAGCCTAGTCAGAGTAAGCAATTTTAAACAAAATACTTGGCATCTATGTCTCCCTGATTTTTTATCACTGATTTTTCATTATACTCATGTTCCTAATACTCTTATGATATAAAAGAAATGCACAGCCGAAGAGGATGAAGTTTATAGTAGGCACACTTATTCGTGGCTTTGTTACTTGAGGTCAAACAAGTTACGTTATACAATAACAACGAACTGATCGAATCCAACAAAAGCCAGCCAGGCAACACCCTGTTCAACTGAATCCAAACCCATGTAAGAGAAACAGAAGGGCAACCACCTTGTACAAGGCTTACGGATTTCTGTAGCCTTCTTGACAACAAAGGCAGCAGGTATTTATTTGATTTATGCAAGTATAAAAATATTGCTACAAATTCTTTTAACATTTAAAATCACTACAGAAACTAGGGTCAATAGACTCTATAAAGGGCGTAATAGTAAACATTTCAGGATTGTGGGTCACATCTGGTCGCCCTCACATTTTCTTTTTTCTTCTTGTTTCTTTACTCTTCTGCTCAAGAACTTTTCAGGATTCTCCAGTGATCGTGAAAAGCATACAGAGATCTAAACCAGGCACTCTAAGCCCCAATCCGCCTTTCCAAACTCTTCCAGGTACTCTTCCCATTTTGTACTTCATGTTCCAGTCAAACGGAACACTCTGACTTTATAAAGAGGTCCCACATTTACACCTCCAACCCATTCTTACTGACGAGACCACACTGGGAGCCCACTTCCATCTGTGCTTGCCAGAATCCAGCCCATTTGTAAAAGAGTCGATCAAAACGTTCTCTTCCACGAAGTCTTCCCTGATTCCCCAGCCAGATTTTCCTTCTTTTGAACTCTCTCTACATTTTGTGTCTCTTCTGAATCTGATAACATTCTGTCTTGGATGTTACTCATTTACATACCTGTCCTATCTCACCTCTAAATCATAAGCAAATGAGCTGAGGGAAGGTAAAGTATCTCACTCATCTTTCTGTCCCTCTCAGTGCTCTGTGGGAGATCAGGTCCATGCCCAATTGAATGATGGGAAGAGTATGACTCTAAAAAAAAGGCAAACACATTCTGAAGGAACAGTATAATTCTTTCATAAGTGAGGGCAAGGGTCACCTGCAATACATGTATGTAGCAAGTACTCAGTAACACTTGCCTAGTGATTTTAAGTGTGTGAATACTGGCTTCCCAACTTCTAAATATTTCTTCTATCTGTACACATATTTTTTAAAATATTTATTTATTTGTTTGTTTGTTTATTTATTTATCTTTTAGAGGGGAAGGAGAGAGGGAGAGAAACATCAATTTATGGTTGCCTTTCATGCGTCCCCTGCTGGGAACTGGCCTACAGGAAACCAGCCTGCAACCCAGAAATGTGTCCTGACTGGGAATCAAACCGGAATCCTCTGGTTCGCAGGCCTGTGCTCAATCCACTGAGCTACACCAGCCAGGGCCTGTATACATATTAAAAACTCTTGAACCAATGTCAGGTAGAAGATAGCAATTTTCAGGGAAAACAGAGACTTGCAAGAGTCCCATTGAAATGCCGTGCATCCAGGATGAGACGGGGCACCAGGACAATGCCCGTACTTACATGTGTCGGTCTATATACATTCTAAGCTTTTTACTAATTTCACACCATCGTGAAATACTCACAAGAGTAAATGAGGGCTGGAAATAGAGTTTCATTTCTCTCCTGAGCTGTTTCAACCAGCATACGAAGTGGGCCTTTTGGACACAAAACAGCCACTAAGTCTAGAAAGAAAAATAGAAACGACATCTGAAAAAAACTATTGGCCAAACTTGTATATGTGTTTGTTAGAGAGAAATCAACCAACAGAAAAGGTTTAATTTTTTTATGCAAACGATGTTGAATGAATATGAAATAAATAGCAGGTAAACTGATGGAGGGGCAATCTAAACAAAATACGCTAAAGCATACAGAAGGCCTGTGCAAATTTCATTTTAGTTTTGACTGTTACTTGGTTAGTTTACAACGTATCATCACTGGGTTCTAGGAGTAAGTCTTCCCAGTTTGAAAAAAGAGACAGATAATAAGACGAAACTATTCTAAAGCAGTACACTTGTCAATTTCCAATAAGCTGAAACAGGCACAAGCCATTTCCAAACACCTATGAGCCGCAGAAGCTTTACTCTAAAAGGAAGTTAATAAAAGTATTTGCTTAAATTTTTCAAAATATAAAGAGCAGAGAAGAGATTTGTCTCCTCTCCTGTTAAAAGATAGTACATGTACAATACTACTTAGGGGAACTTAAAACAAAAGGAGTAAATTTAAACATAACAAAATAACTAATAAAACTTTCCATGATAGAGTTTAACATTTCTTTAGTTCTCCTGTCAAAGGCACTTCAAGTTTAGGTTTTAGAACATACATATTTTCACAGAACAGCAACTCAGAGAAGAAACAATATGCCTAAATTATTTTTTTAAACACTTTATATTTATTTATTTTAGAGAGGGGAAGAGAAAGGGAAGGAGAGGGAGAGGGAGAGAAACATCAATGTGTGGTTGTTTCTCATGTGCCTCCTACTGGGGACCTGGCCTGCAACCCGGGCATGTGCCCTGACTGGGAATCAAACTGGAGACCCTTTGGTTCTCAGGCCAGCACTCAATCCACTGAGCCACACCAGCCAGGCCTGCCTAAGTTATTCTTGATTCTACCACCATCTCTTTCCATCAACAGCAATTTTTCTTACATTTTCTGTTGTGAAAATTCAGAATGTAGAAAATTTGAACATTTAAAAGTATAAACCGGTTACAGCTGTGTTTGTGAAGGAAGACTTGACAGTGTGTGTCGACATAACAATCACTCAGGTGCATTTAGTTAAAAAACCCCTCACACCTGCGAACGGTCATGTCTGTACACTATTGCTGCTACTACTAATGTAGCAAAACACACACACACACAAGAAACTGCTACTCTTACTGCTTCCACTACACTTTGTTTTGAATAGAAAAGGAAAATTTGCTGTGCTCCAAAGTAATGAGATTTTCGACCTGTTTGAGGCTGCCACGTCCTGTCACTATCTTGGTTTTCTGACGCACTTCTTCTTATAGAATTGCTAAGTAATAAACTCCCTTATTTCTCGAGTAATTGAAGTGAATTAATAACCTTTGTGACAATATAAAGTATATCGAGACCTTGTGAAAATGAAATTGAGAATCATTACTCGAAATTAAATCCGCGACTGTTCAACCGGCACGCCGCGAGAAGCCTACTGGCGTGCCGTGAGAGTTTCTAAAACAGGTGATACCTGACAGGTAGTCAGGGGCGCTGACCTCCTTTCCCTCAGAGTGTCAAATAAAAAACACCCAACGCAACAACAGCTGTTCTGTGTGAATGAATCAAAATTATACCTGTTTTTGTCAGATCAGCAAAAAATGCATTTTTTGGTGTGCTGCAGAATTTTAGTAATTAGTTTGTGTGTGCCATGAGATGAAAAAGGTAGGAAATTGCTGCTCTAAATATTCGATACACGTCTTGTATTTTAAAGGAACTCAAAGCTCCAGAAGTAATTATTTGTATAATGTTTAGAAGTAATAAAGAGTTGATGGAGAGAAAGTGTACTATAGTAGAAAGAATACTGAATTTGGGATTCTCATTCTACATCAAACAGTATAAGCTTAGGCAAATACTTTACCTTTATAAACTTCAGGTTTCTTAGCAGTAAAACAAGGACCAGTGCCTTGTTTACTTCATAGGATTATACAGAAGAAAAAAAAAAAAAGGAACAGCTGATACTTATTGACAGATACTGTTCTATGCGTATTCTATGTATTGTTCGATTTGACCTTCCTAATAACGAAGACTTAGGGCTTAAATAATATGTCTGTGGTCACGTAGCTAACGAGTGACAGAGTAGAAGAGTCTGGATTTGAACCCAGGCAGCCCTTCTCCAGAACCAGTATTTTATCTTTAAATACCCAAAATGGAACCAGGCTCATTATTACTCTTCATTACAAACCCCCCTGATTACGGAAACACGGCATATTTAATTAAATTCTAACTTGCTCTATATGTCATACTGGTGCTCTATGAGGCCCGCAGCCCGAGACCGGTAAGGAAGGTGAAAGTTCCACTGAACACCTGGTTCAGAGCCCAGCACTGTGTACTGTGAGGAGTGCTGAGTGCTGGCCTGCATTTCCAAGGGTTGCCTCTCAGTCTTCTGACCAGAAATCTGTGGACCTTCCACTAGTCTATCACCGAGTTAAACTGGAGGTGGTAATAAAGTGTTTTTTAAGAACTTAACCTCGAAAAAATTGAAATCTTTACATGGAAAACATACCATAGCTAATTAACTACTTACTGAAGACCTGTGGGATACAACCACTATCATTTCTAAAGTCGAGATAACTGGGAAGGAAAATACACCAGTGAGGTATTTCTATGACAAAGTATGCATCCCGGGTTTTACCGTATACTGAAATCACTGCCAGGATGAGCCACGCAGTCCACTCTGGGAGGTACTTGATAAACACCAAGGCCATGAGGGCGCTGATCATGATGAGATAGGCCTGCTGGAGCCGCAGAGGGCCTTTCCAATGAATGGCGATCATTCCCACCACACCGAAATTCCAGATCAGGAGTGCAACAGTGATGTAGTCCATGGCAACGTTGTAGGTCTTAAACACTTCCCTAAACAAATTAAACAGAGATGTAATATGATTTATGTGCAATAATTTTTATCAAAACACTGCTTAGAACTAGAGTTCCCAAATATTTGATATTCATATCCCATCTTCATATTTTTATATCAACTGTACTGTTATTTAACATTTTTCTTTAAATTAATTTACTTTTTCCCTCAAGTTATTTTAACAGAAAACTACCATTCATATAAATGGGAAACCAGTACCATAGACTACAGTTGTAAAAAATACAAACACTAAAAAAAGGCCACATACCACCTAAAATACCATTCTATGCTTTGGGAAGCTCTCATTTAAAACATCAAACATTGGGCCCTGGCTGGTGTAGCTCAGTGGATTGAGCACAGGCCTGCAAAACAAAAACTCGCAGTTCAATCCCCAGTCAGGGCACTTGCCTGGGTTGTACAGACCAGTTCCTGGCAGGGGGTGCACAAGAGGCAACCATACATTGATATTTCTCTCCCTCTCTCCTTCCTTTCCCCTTTAAAGATAAAGAAATAAAACCTGCCCTGGCTGGTGTGGCTCAGTGGATTGAGCATGGGCCTGCAAACCAGAGTATTGCAGTTCAATTCCCAGTCGGGGCACATGCCTGGGTTGCAGGCCAGTTTCCAGCAGGGGACACATGAGAGGCAACCATACATTGATATTTCTCTCCCTCTCTCCTTCCCTTCCCCTCTAAAGATAAATAAATAAATAAATCTTAAAAAAAAAAAAAAAGAAATAAAACCTTAAAAAATAATAATAAAAAAATCAAACACTGGGCCCTGGCTATCAGCCCAAGAACTGAAAGATCACATATTCAATTCCCAGTCAGAGCACACGCCCAGAGGTTGTGCGTCTGGTAGGGGCACATATGAAAGGCAACCAACTGATGTTTCTCTCTCACAATCCATGTTTCTTTTAATTAAAAAGAAATACTTTTTATTGATTATGGTTTTACAGTTGTCCCAATTTTTCTCCCTTTGCCCCCCTCCACCTGGTGCTCCCATCCCTTCCACCCTCCCCCAGTTCATGTCAATGGGCCGTGCATAGTTCTTCGGCTTCTCCACTTTTCACACTGTTCTTAACATCCCGTCTATTTTGTACCCGACAATTTATATTTCTTAATCCCTGCACCTTTCCCCCCATTTTTCCCCTTCCCTTTTCCCAACTGATAACCCTCCAAATAATCTCCATATCTAAGATTCTGTTCCTATTTTGGCTGTTTTCTTAGTTTGTTTTTTTAGATTCAGTTAGTTGTTGACAGTTGTGAATTTGTTGCCCTTTTAATGTTCCTCGTTTTGATCGTCTTTTTCTTAAATAAGTCCTTTTAACATTCCATATAATAATGGCTTGGTGACGATGAACTCCTTTAGCCTTATCTTGTCTGGAAAGCATTTTATCTGCCCTTCCATTCTAAATGATAGCTTTGCTGGGTGAGTAACTAGGTTGTAGGTCCTTGCTTTTCATCACTTTGAATACTTCTTCCCAGACCCTTCTTGCCTGCAAAGTTTCTTTTGAGAAATCAGCTGATAGTCTTATGAGGAGACTATCTCCTTAGGAATCTCCTTTGTAGGTAACTAACTGCTTTTCTCTTGCTGCTTGTAAGATTCTCTCTTTATCTTTAACCTCTGGCATTTTAATTATGATGTGTCTTGGTGTGTTCCTCCTTAGGTCCAATGCCTTTGGAACTTTCTGGGCTTCCTGGACTTCTTGGAAGTCTATTTTCTTCGCCAGATTGGGGAAGTTCTCCATTATTTTTTCAAACAAGTTTTCAATTTCTTGCTCTTCCTCTTCTCCTGGCATCCCCATGGATTTGGATGTTGGTATATCTGGAGATGTTCCAGAGACTTCTTAGTCTATCCTCTTTTTGAATTATTTTTCTTTCTTGCTGTTCTAATTGAATGCTTTTGTTTTCCTTATGTTTCAAACCATTGATCTGATTCTCAGCTTCACCCTCTCAACTGCTGATTCCCTGTAGATTTTTCTTTACTGCACTTAGTGTAACCCTCATTTCTTCCTGGGCCATTTTTATGCTATTGCCATACTCAGTGAATTCTTTGAGCATCCTGATAACCAGTGTCTTGAACTCTGCATCTGATGGGTTGGTTACTTCTGTTTTAATTCTTTTTCTGGAGTTTTGTTCTGATCCTTCATTTGGGCCACATTTCTTGGTCTCCTCAATTTGGGAGCCTCCCTGTCTATTAGATAGAGCTGCTTTGACTCCCCTAGTAGCGTGGCCTATTGCAAAAGGGCATACCTGTAAATTATGTGGGGTGGGGTCTTAGGTGATTGCCAGGGTGGAGAAACCCATTCCACGGTTCTGTGGCTCTCTATGGGTGAGGGCTCGGAGGGGGGACGATGCCACTGCCTGGGTGCTAGAGGTCTGCCCGGGAGGAAGCTGTTTCCCGGCACTTGCCTTGTTTCCAGTCACTTCACTTTCTTCCTGTATGCCACTTGTGCCCTCTCAGCTTTTGCCCTGGTGCTGAATCCCAGAGAGGTGGGTCTCAGTAAGTCATAAGTCCGTAGGGACCCTGTAAGAGGAGCCTTCTGAGAATCCGGCAGTTTCTTCTACCACCCCAACTCCCACTGGTTTTTATAGCCAGAAGTCCTGGTGGATTTATCTTCCTGGTGCTGGACCCCGGGCTGCTGGGTGGTCTGGTTTGGAGTTGGGAATGCTCACTCCTGAGATATCCCTCCTGATAATATTAACTTGTCTTAGATACACCAAGTTTGACCTATCTATGGAAACAATTATAACTAAAGAGTAATTCATCAATAAAGGACATGGCTTTAAGTGACTAACAGAAACCCCAAACAGAATTAATTTCTAAAAATTAGACCAAATATTTCACCACTTACCCCAAATAAATGAATGAGAAAAAGAACAGCAACAATAGAGATGAAATAATAAGCCAGGCATGGATGACCTAGAAAAGAAAGAATTTCAATATAATTAACAGATCACATAATACTAAAAAATTACAAGCTTCTTAACTTCAAAAATAGTAAGTTATTTCTGTATATATTATTCTTTTCAAGTGACCAAACCACAAATGGCTTTGGGTTCAGTGCATTCTTATATAGAACTCCTTGGAGCGGAACAACTTTTAAGTAAACAGAAATTTCAGCAAGACATATATATATAGACACTTGTTCCTTCAGAAATAGGGGAAATTTTGAAAAGAATGAATTTTAAAATACCAAATTATCAACAGAGTCAACAGTTGACATTTAAACTTTAAAGCAGCAGTATTATCAAGATGCTCAGCATCACTAGCCATCAGAGAGATGCAAATTAAAGCCACAATGAGATACCACTTCACGCCAGTCAGAATGGCCACCATAAAAAAATCAAGAAACAAGTGTTGGACAGGATGCAGAGAAAAGGGAACCCTAGTGCACTCTTGGTGGGAAAGACTGGTGCAGCCACTGTGGAAAACAGTATGGAATTTCCTCAGAAAACAAAAAATAAAACTGCCTTTTGACCCGGCAATTCCACTGCTGAGATTATACCCTAAGAATCCTGAAACACCAATTCAAAAGAACCTATGCACCCTACTGTTCATAGCAGCACAATTAAAAATAGCCAAGTGTTGGAAGCAACCTAAATGCCTGTGAGTAAATGAGTGGATCAAAAAACTATGGTACATTTGCACAATGGAACTCTATGCAGCAGAAAGAAAGGAGGAGCTCCTGCCCTCTGTGACAACATGGGTGGAAATGGAGAGCATTATGCTAAGTGAAAATAAGCCAGGTGGTGAGGGACAAATACTGTATGATCTCGCCTTTAACTGGAACATAATCAACAACAAAAAAAGCAAACAAAATATAACCAGAGACACTGAAATTAAGAACAATCTGACAGTAACCAGAGGGGAGGTGGGAAGGGTTTTCAGCAACTACTATAAAGGACACATGGACAAAACCAAGGGGGAGGGTGGAAGCATGGGAGGGAGGTGGGACTGGTTGGGGTAGAGGGGAATGGTGGGGAGAAAATACAGACAATTGTAATTGAACAGCAATAAAGCAATTTAAAAAATAAAGTAGCGATATTAGCAGTGGAGGAATTTTGTAGTATTCCTGAAATAAACTGAATAAATAATAGATTTCCACCAAGATGGAGGCGTAGGTGGAAGCACTTCACCTTCTCACACAACCCAGTTTAAAAACAACAAAGTTTTAGCAACAAAAACGCAGCCAAACCACAGAAAATTGAACTACACGGAAGTCTGACAACAACAAACCCTTCAGCCAAACCGGTAAGAGGGGCAGAGCCAGCAGCAGAGCAGGGTCGGGCAGGAAAGATCCAATGGACCAACCCAGGTGTGGGACCCAGGTGCGCCAGCAGCTGTGGGCGGATCCCAGGTGTGGAGAAGCGGGCGGACCCACTGAGAGCAGACCATGGTCACACATTCGCGCGCAGATAAACCGGTGAAGGAGCTAGTGGTGGTGAGATGGACCGCGCAGGCCCCAGAGGCGCAAAGCGGCGAAGAGAACCGCCACTGTCCCTCTCTGACCCCGTCCCTACACACAGCATCATAAACCAGCGACCTGGATGGCCCCACACTGGTGAACAACTAAGGCTCCGCTCCTCATACCTAATAGGCACGAACAGATCAAAACATGGCTCAAGAACAACTCAGAGCCCCAGAGCCCATAAATCTAAGTGATGAAGAAATAGCCAAACTTTCAGATGCACGGTTCAAAACACTGGTGATCAGGATCCTCACAGAACTGGTTGATTTTAGTCACAAATTAGAGGAACATATGGAAGCTAAACTAATTGAAATGAAGGGAAATGCACAGGAAACCAATAGTAATGAAAAGGAAACTGGGACTCAAATCAAGGGAGTGGACCAGAAAGAGAAAAAAAATGACCAAACAGAAAAGAATGAAGAAACAAGAATTCAAAAAAATGAGGAGAGACTTAGGAATCTCCAGGACATCTTTAAACGTTCCAACATCCGAATTATAGAAGTACCAGAAGGGGAAGAGGAACAGCCACGAGTGGAAAGCTTATTTGAACAAATAATAAAGGAGAATTTCCCCAATCTGGCAAAGGAAATAGACTTCCAGGAAATCCAGGAAGCTCAGGGAGTCCCAAAGAAGTTGGACTCAAGAAGGAACACACCAAGGCACATCATAATTATATTAGCCAAGATTAAAATGAAGGAGAGAATCCTAGAAGCAGCAAGAAATAAGGGGACAGTCACCTACAAAGGAGTGCCCATCAGACTGTCAGCGGATTTCTCAAAAGAGACCTTACAGGCAAGAAGGGGCTGGAAAGAAGTAGTCCAAGTCATGAAATCCAAAGACCTACATCCAAGATTGCTCTATCCAGCAAAGCTTTTATTTAGAATGGAAGGACAGATAAAGTGCTTGTCAGATAAGATCAAATTCAAGGAGTTCATCATCACCAACCCCTTATTTTATGAAATGTTAAAGGGACTTACCTAAGAAAAAGAAGATAAAAAAATAGGAATAGTGAAAGGACAGTAAACTCACAGTTATTAAGAACCACACCTAAAACAAAAGCAAACTAAGAGGACAGCTAGATCAGGAGCAGAACCATAGAAATGAAGATCACATGGAGAGTTAGCAACAGAGGAGTGGGAGAAGGAGAAAGGGGGAGAAGGTACAGAAAATAAGTAGCATAGATGGTAGGTAGAAAATAGACAGGGGAGAGGGCAAGAATAGTATGGGAAATATAGAATCTAAAAAACTTGAGACACATGGTCATAAACTAAAGGGGGGAATGGTGGGGGAGGGGGTTGCAGGGTGGAGGGGAAAGAAGGGGGCAAATAGAACTGTGATGGCGTAATTAATAAAATGTTTTAAAAAAAAGAAAACATGAGCTACCGAAGGAAAAAAATAAACCCACCAACAAAATTCTAAATAAATAATAAAATTCAATAAAATTGAAAATAATTTTCAGTTAGGTGACCTTTGCAGGCATACATTAACTGTACAGAGAAAATAGGCTTTCAAAACTATATAACTATTTGATAAAAGAATATTCAGAATCTGAAGTTTCAGTAAGTATTGGAATGCTTTCTACTTTTATTTTATATTACAAATGTATTACTTTATGTATTCTTTGAAACACTTAGAAGCCCATCCCTGTTGTTCAAAATCCAGGGTTCTATATAAATGTCAGTCTCTATTACTCATGTATAGCTTGTTATGGTGAGAAATAGAATCAGAATTTGATTTCTAGAATCTATTACACAAGATGCACATTTTAAATAGTAATTTTACATAATGTGTATATCTAGGAAACTACTATACAACCTAAAAGTATGAAGGTTTTAAAAACAGAATGACAAGCATGATAAATTGCCAAGTAATTGCCAAGTAATCAAAAGTGAAATTATTTCAAGGTGCATATACCCATTATTGCTGTGTTTTCAATGAATTTTATTACTTAACAACAGAAGGAGCTACTTAATAACTTTCAAATCAAACACTGAAAAAAGGAGAGAAAAAACACCTCTCCAAATCAAAAATATTGTTTTGTCTTCATTTTTTTCTAAATCTCTCACCCCTGACCCCAGATTCAGGAGTTCAGCTCATCAGGCTCTAAGTCACCAAAGTCTAGATGCGATTAGAATTTGTTACTTTTCTCTGGTGGTCCGGTTTTGATCACTCAAGGTGACTGATCTGTGATCATGAATTCCTCTGGGGAAAAAAGACTTCTTTAAAATTTTTGCTGCCCGTCTTTCCTTAAAAAAACTTGATCAAGTTTAATTTCTAGTGTTCTCCCACAAACGCTTTCACATAAAAATTTTTGAACACTACAAAGTTTAAAGATTTTTACATTATATTGGTGAACACCAATATACCACCTACAGTCTACGCTCACATTGTGCTATACTTGCTTCGGAACATTTCTATCCATGTTTCCCACATATCAAAGTAACCCAAAGATACCTGTCCATTCTCCTCTAAATACTTCAACTCTAGCAAAACATTCTACAGGGAGCCCTTACTCTATTTCCTCTGCAACCCCTCACCCAAATGGTAAAGGATGAGCAGAAAGAAATTTGCCCACCTGCATCCTGCCCTACCATTCTTACAAGTCTCAGCTTTAGAAATAATCCAGTTACAAACTAAAAAGTGTATGTGATATTATAAGACAGAAAAGCTTTAAAGAGTGGAAGATGTATACTGGTATTCCATACTAAGCTCCACATTAAGGGCTAAAATAAACATTAAAAAGTGGAAATTCTCATATCTCTTGAGAATTGCTTTTTACCTTTTCTTTTTCCATCAAGGGACATAGAGATGGTGTTTATTTTAAAACAGAGTATTTTTCTGAATTCAAAAGTAACATGCATATAACATTTAGAAAATACTAAGGTAAAAACAATTCCCACTGGCCAATGATAACCAAAGTTAATGTTTATACTTTTTATTCAGGCATGTTTTCTGTTTGCATGTGTTGGCATGTGTGAAGATCTTTTAATGTAATTAGAATCAAGTAATAATACAGCTTTACATTCCGCTCTTTCAAACTTAATTTTTTGTTACAGATATATTCTGCCACAAAATATTTTTTGAAAATGATTTTTAAAAGTTTCTTTTTAAAGATTTTATTTTGGAAAGAGGGGCAGGGAGGGAGAAAGAGAAGGAGAGAAACATCAACGTGAAAGAAACATAGATCAGCTGTCTCTCACACACCTCTAACTGGGAACCTGGCCTGTAAGCCAGGCATGTATGCTGACCAGGAATTGAACCAACAACCTTTTAGTTTACAGAACAATGCCCAATTCACTAAGCCACACCAGCCAGGGCATGAAAATGATTTTTAAATGACATTAATATTCTACGTAGATAGATGAACCCCAAACTTAACTTTTTCTTATGCATAAATTTGTGGTGTTTCTTTTTTTTCCCCAATCATAATCTATGCTAGGATGACTATCCT